CAGGAATGTGGATCTGTCTAATGCATGGAGGGACTGTGGATTACAAGACCAAATGAAGGATTGCTTGTAAAATGCCTTATTTCAAACTGGAAAGGAATTTTAGTACAATAAAATGGGAGCAGTTGCACTCTGGTCTTGCCTAGTGTTTTCCCCTAGGGGTGCCAGGTGGGGATGTTGCCATGCAGGTGAGGAGCATTAAGCTCCTGGGTACCTGCTCTGAGCTGTTTGTGCCTCCAGCAAATCCTTGCTGGGGTGGGCAGGGACAGCACTTGCAACTGGGCACCTTGAGGAGCTTTTTAAGCCTAAGCCTTTACATCTGCTCTAGCTTAAAACTAGAGCAAACACCCAAGGCAAAGGCTCCTTCCTCCTCTGCCTGCAGCACCTGTGTGAAGTGTGGTTAATGCACAGCCCCTGCTCCTCTTGTGCAACAGTTTTGAAGCATGTCTCAACTTTTGGGTGAATGCCTAATAAATAGCTAAAAATTCTCCTTTGTGTCTCTTACCCCTTGAGAAACTCCTGCAAAATAACTCCAGCTAAGACCTCAAGGTCCAGGCTCCTACACCCGGATGAGCAGGAAAAGGTTAACTTGGCCTAAAAAAAAAAAAAAAAAAGTGGCTGATTTGCTGCAGATTATTCATGTTAAAGATATTCCCTGAGCAGCAGAGGGAGGAGACACCTCGTACATTATTATACTGCCTGGAGGGGCATTTCTGCAGCGGGGGCAGCCCCAGTTCTAGCTCCCTGCTCTGCTGCTCTCAGTTTGTGCCTGAGCCTGTATCAGAGCAGGTTTATGCTACGGGTGTGCGGCTACATCGGGGCAGGAGCTGATGGGGAAAGGCTCTGGGAAAGGCAGTTTTGGCCTAGAGCAAGAACAGCCCTGGGTGCTGCAGGCTGGGAGAGGTGCTGGAGCTGCTCCCAGCGCACACGGTGAGGGGGGCCCAGGGCTGAGGCCAGCGCTTGTGTCTTCCACACGGAAAACTCTTAGGCAAGACCTGCTAGAAGCTCATCCTGCTTTCCCAGAAGTGCAAGGAACAGCAGCAGCAACAAAAAACATCTTGAACTCTTACTTTTCCATCGTACTTTATTTCACTTTTTCTAGAAAATTCCTCCATAGTTCCACAAATTTAACAAAAAGTTTAAAATTCAGGACAAACAATCCTGTAATGTATTACAAACATGATTTTTTTTTTCCTTTTTTTCCTTTTTTCATCTTGAAGTTAGTCTTGGGCCAGCTGAATTTCTTACAGCTGAGTGAAGAACGCACTTCCCAACCCAACTTTTAAAATCCTCAAGTGACAAGGTATTTAATACCTTGGCTCTAGGCAGAAATACAATTAAAAATTATCTAGACGTTGAAGTACTTACATTTTCTTTAGGAGTGCAAAACTCATCTCTTTAGTTTTTGATGGCTATTTCATGCCCCCATGAAAAGACCAATTGGTTTTTTTTTTCTTTTTGTTTCCACCTTTTTCAAAGTAACACTCGGCCAAGGTGCACAATGGTTGTCTAGAGCAGTGACAGAAGCATGCGAGCGAGTGCCAGGCACCTGGATTAAAAGCAGCTTCCTTCTGCGTACACCGACCGTGCTATAGTGCATTCGAGAACGTTACCGTTGAAATTTGCTGAACCAGAGTGCCGGAGGTCTCTGCTTGGAGAGAACACGATGGGGCAAAGCTCCATGAGGGAATTGGTTATGTCTTGCCATCAAATAACGTTCCAGATCTGACGAAAACCAAACTGTGCCTGGATTGTTGCATCCGTTTTTTTTTTCCTAGTCTGGATGCTGCCACCGCACGCAACAGTGTAGGAACGGGCGGCTGAATCATTGCACTTCCACGTACTCGGTCTGACCATGACAGAGCCGCTCTCGTCACCAACGTGTCCCGTGTTCTTCAGGCGGGCGCTCTGGCGATGCAGCCAGCCTTCCTATCCTTTTTAATAGTACATGTCAGTAATCAAAGCCTCAAGGCTTAATACGTATCAGACCAAGACAACAGGAAAGCACCCTGGCCCCTCTTTTGCCCTTTAATACAAAGGCCAAGGACAAAGGAAAAGCTGCGTCCTAATCTCACCTCCACGTGATTCAATTCAAAGCAACTCTGAAAGCCTTCAGATTGACCAGCACTTGTTCATGCCTTCAGTAACAACATGAAGGACACTGAAAAGTAAGAGTTCTGTCCATTTTCCTTGGAAAGAAACCGTTATGGCTAGAAGTCAATTTTGGATTTTTTTTCCTTTTTTTTTTCCTTTTTTTTTTTTCTTTTTAAAACAATGCAAGTTACTACACATCCTCGAAGACCTGAAGCAATGCCGACGGCAGCACTGCCACCTCCTTCCTATTTTACAATACTCCATCCATGCTCTCAAGAGTGACACAAGAACAAACACTTTATCCACAAATACCTGTACATGGCATGTCCAGAACAGCATTCAGCCAGCCTACAGAGAATCTACACAGGGAACTCTTTCATATGTAACTAGAGGGGGACACAAGATGAGGCCCAAATTTGTCCATTCTTTGTTTGCAGAGTCATTCCTCGCGTGGTCCCCGATGCTACCACATACCCCAAAAAACAACAACTCTGTAGCACAACTAAGTACTCGCAAGAAACCTTTTAGTAACAAGTCAGCATGTGCACACACTGGAGAAGAACTATTGCTGGGGGAACAACTCTATCATTTCAGGTTTTCAAGGCAATTATAAACAGTCTAAAAAAATCCATGTGTAAAATACTTCTTATAAAACCAAACAAAATTCCCACCAATGCTCATTAGACTTCACGAATAAAGTTGGTTCCAGGGCAGGACGGTGCCACAGCCTTGGGCGAGAGCCCCAGGCGCTTCCAGCTAAGCTCAGCAACACCCTCCAGCGCCTGTTTTTGGACTAGCTGGGAGCAACACGCCGACGGGGATCTCAAAATGAGAAGGGGGAGAAGGGAGGTGCAAACCTCGAATCCCTTGTGCTGCAACTCTGGAAGCTACTTACAGTCCCGGAAGAAAAGGCTGTCCGTGCGGGTGACAGAAGCAGTGGTTCTGAGGGTAAGTTACCTGGGGAGGAAGAGGAGGCAAAAATCCTGGGAGACGCCGGCCTCGGCACGGCTAATCCCACGGCTCCTATTGCTCCGGGGCCAGGGCAGCGTTGGCTCGCGGGCCCCGCGGCCGGGGATGCTCCGCACGCTGGGGCTGCTCCGCAGGCCGAGCCCGGCGGCCGTCGCAGGCTGCTTCCTCCTCGCGCCGCCGCCAGGAGCTCCCCCGTCCGCGCTGAGGTAACTCGCGCAGCGCGCGCGCCGCCATCTGCTGAGGCGGCTCCTGCCCCGCCGTCCTCCTCCTTCTCATCGCGCATCCGCACACGGCGCTCAGTCCAGGCTTGGCGTTGTCCATCAGGAGAGAAAACAGCTACAATCACTGCTGTGACAGGGCACGCACCCGGCATGAGCTTGATTTGTATATACAAGACACACGAAAGATGGTACAAAGAGACAAAAATTAACGGGAATCGGGTCAACATGACCCAACTCAAACAAGCTTATCATCATATTGCCACTTGTTGCAACACTTCCATGATAAAGAAAGGGGGAACCCAAAACAAGGGACCGCAGTTTCACAAGGGCTGGGGACAGCAAAGAACGATGCTGCTCACCCGGCTCCCTCCCACAAGGGAGATTTAGGGACCTGGGTGCTCTGCCCGTGAGCAGAGGCCTCCTCTGACCCGCTGCCTTCCTCCTCGCTGCCAGCGGCCCACGCACATTTGGCAAAAGCTTACGTACTGATTGGAGAAACTGAGCGATTCCTTAAGAAAATACTGAATTTAGGACACAGTTTAATACAATTTTGATAAAAGGTACAGACTTCCCCCATGCCCGCCTAAACATACAGACAATACTTGAAAGTCAATACTAGTTTAACTAGAAATATATAAAAGATTCTGGATTAGTGTTTTCTGGTTCCTGCCATGTCTTGAATGGGCAGGGGGGAAGGAAGAGGGAG